GGGCGGGGCTAGATTTTATAAGATATGACTGATTTTGACATTTTTGACAATTTTTCAACCATTTTTGAAAATTAGCTAGATATTTTCTTGTAGATTTCGACACCCAGAACTCATTTTAGGCTTTGTTTCTTCGAAAATTTCTATCGTTATCTTGATTAGATAAGATTGTTTTTGGCAAATGACATATCTTCCAAGGAAACAAATGGTGGGTGGGTGGGGCTAGGTTTTATAAGATGACTGATTTTGAAATTTTTGACCATTTTTCAACAATTTTCGAAAATTAGCTAGATATTTTCTTATAGATTTCGTTATCCAGAAGTCGTTTTAGGCTTTATTTCTTCGAAAATTTCTATCGTTATCTTGATTAGACAAGACTCTTCTGGGCAAATGATATATCTTCCAAAAAAACAGAGGGTGGGTGGGCGGGGCTAGGTTTTATAAGATATGACTGATTTTGACATTTTTGACCATTTTTCAACCATTTTCGAAAATTAGCTAGACATTTTTTTGTAGATTTCGACATCCAGAAGTCATTTTAGGCTTTGTTTCTTCGAAATTTCTATTATTATTTTGATTAGATAAGACTGTTTTTGGCAAATGACATATCTTCCAAGAAAACAGAGGGCGGGTGGGCGAGGCCAGTATTTTATAAGATACGACTTATTTTGACATTTTTGACCATTTTTCAACCATTTTCGAAAATTAACTAGACATTTTCTTGTAGATTTCGACTGCAGAAGTCATTTTAGTGTTCGTTTCATCGAAAATTTCTATTGTTTTTCCAAATTCGCATGTTAAAATATAGCAATTTTTACAGTTTCAGTAGCAAATAGTATAATACAAAATTTAGAGTTAGCATAATTTTTTTTACTTTTTTCACATCCTAGATTCTCTTAGTTTCCACTCCGACTTCATAAGAGAACATAACTAGCCCCGCCCACCCATCTGGCCTTCATTTCAGTGATTTATTTTATCCGGTCTGAATGAAATGAATAATCTTACACTGAGCAGAAATAAAATTATTGTTTAAAATGAGAAGACTGGGTGTGGGTGGGACTTGTACTTACTAAAATAAAACAGATTTTAGCAAATGAGATACCTTTCAAGGAAATAGAGGGCGGGTGGGCGGGACCAGTACTTGATAAGATAATTCTGTTTTTGGCAAATGACATATACCTTCAAAGAAAATAGAGGGCGGGTGGGCGGGGCTAGCATTTTATAAATAAATATGGCTGAGTTTGACACTTTTGACATTTCTCAACCATTTTCGAAAATTAGCTAGACATTTTCTTGTAGATTTCGACATCCAGAAGTCATTTTAGGCTTTGTTTCTTCGAAAATTTCTATCGTTATCTTGATTAGATAAGACTGATTTTGTCAAATGATATCTTCCAAGAAAACAGAGGGTAGGTGGACAGGGCTAGATTTTATAATATATAACTGATTTTGACATTTTTAACCATTTTTCAACCATTTTCGAAAATTAGCTAGACATTTTCTTGCAGATTTCAACATCTAGAAGTCATTTGAGGATTCGTTTCTTCGAAAGTTTCTATCGTTTCTCCAAAATCGCCAACTGAAATATGTATAACAATTTTTACTGTTCCAGCAAATAGTATAAAACAAAATTGACGGTTAGCGCTTTTTTTACTTTTTTCACATCCCAGATTCTATTAGTTTCCAGTCCCACTTCAAAGGAGAACATAATTAGCCCCGCCCACCCACCCGACCTTCATTTCAATGATTAATTTCATCCGGCCTGAATGAAATGAATACTCTTATACTGAGCAGAAATAAAATTAGAATGAGAAGACTAGGGGTGGGTGGGGCTAGTACTTGCTAAAATAAAACTGATTTTAGTAAATGAGATACCCTTCAAGGAAATAGAGGGCTGATGGGCGGGGCTAGTACTTGATAAGATAAGAATATATAGCAATTTTTACAGTTTCAGTAGCAAATAGTATAACAAAAAATTTACGGTTAACGTTTTTTTTTTACTTTTTTCACGTCCTAGATTCTATTAGTTTCCACTCCTACTCCACAGTAGAACATGTAAATGTTGATTATTTCTCCAGAAGTCCATTGAAATTATCACCAAAATAAGAAGAAAAAACTGATGATGAATACGTGTTAAATACGATTTTAATTAATTAAATTAATAAGGAAACAGTCACAGCTCATGAAATTGAAAAAGAAACAAGAACAGATCCAGAATTATGTAAAATGAAGAAAGAAATGCTAAATGAAGCCAGGAGAGATCCAAAATTTTCACTGCACGATCGAATTATATTTAGAGGACAACGTGTGGTAATTCCAAAAAAATTACAACACATTATTGTACAAGAACTTCATTCAACACACCTAAGAATAGTTAAAATGAAATATCATATGACTGTTTTTGACATTTTTGACTATTTTCCAACCATTTTCGAAAATTAGCTAGACATTTTCTTCTAGATTACGACATCCAGAAGTCATTTTAGTCTTCGTTTCTTCGAAAATTTCTATCGTTATCTTGATTAGATAAGACTATTTTTGGCAAATGACATATCTTCCAAAAAACAGAGGGTGGGTGGGTGGGTGGGGCTAGTATTTTATAAGATATGACTGATTTTGACATTTTTGACCATTTTTCAACCATTTTCGAAAATTAGTTAGACATATTCTTGTGGATTTCGACGTCCAGAAGTCATTTTAGGCTTCGTTTTTTCGAAAATTTATATTGTTTTTCCAGAATCGCCAACTGAAATATATATAACAATTTTTACTGTTCCAGTGGCAAATAGTATAAAACAAAATTGACGGTTAGCGCTTTTTTTACTTTTTTCACATCCTAGATTCTATTAGTTTCCACCCCCATTCCATAGAAGAAAATAATTGGCCCCGCCCACCCACCCGACCTTCATTTCAGTGATTAATTTTATCGGGCCTGAATGAAACGAATGATCTTATACTGAGCAGAAATAAAATTAGTCTTTAGAATGAGAAGACTGGGGGTGGGGGGGTTAGTACTTGCCAAGTTAAACTGATTTTGGCAGACGACATACCTTCCAAGGAAATAGAGGGCGGGTGGGCGGGGCTAGTACTTGATAAGATAAGACTGTTTTTGGCAAATCACATATATTCCAAGAAAATAGAGGGAGGGTGGGCGGGGCTACCATTTTATAAAATATGACTGAGTTTGACACTTTGGACATTTATAACATTTTTGCTTATTTTTTAAGCATTTTCGAATATTACCGACATTTTCTTGTAGGTTTCGACATCTAGAAGTCATTTTAAGCTTCGTTTCTTCGAAAATTTCTATCGTTTTTCCAAAATCTCCAACTGAAATATCGCAATTTTTACAGTTCCAGCAGTAAATAATGTAACAAAAAACGTACAGTTAGCGCTTTTTTTTAGTTTTTCACATCCTAGATTCTATTAGTTTCCACTCCCACTCCACAGCAGAACTTAATTAGCCCCGCCCACCCACCCGAACTTCATTTAAATGATTAATTTTATCCGGTCTGAATGAAACGAATGATCTTATACTGAGCAGAAATAAAATTAGTCTTTAGAATGAGAAGACTGAGGTGGCTGGGGCTACAACTTGTTAAGATAAAACTGATTTTGGCAATCAACATACCTTCCAAGGAAACAGTGGGCGGGTGGGCGGGGCTAGTACTTGATAAGATAAGACTGTTTTTGGCAAATGGCATATCTTCCAAGAAAATAGAGGGCGGGGCTTGCATTTTATAAGATATGAGTGATTTTGACACTTTAGGCTTCGTTTCTTCGAAAATTTTTATTGTTTTTCCTAAATCGCCAGTTGAAATATAGGAATTTTTACAATTCCAGGGGCAAATACAGTAGAACTCCTCTATTACAAGTCCCGCTTATGTCGACAAATTGGCTATAACGAGTAAATTTCTTGGTCCCTTGACCTTTATGTACTACTCTATGTACAAATGTCCCTTTATAACGGGTAACTTTTAGTAACGGATCGGATATAACGAAAAAATTGTTCGCTCCAGATCGGTTATTGCGAGAAATTTTACAATCAAGATCGGTTATAACAAACACAATTCTTGAAAATGTATATAAAAAAGGCATCTGTTTTAACGACAACAAAGCGTCTCAACTCTTGTAATTTTATTACAATATTCGTAGAATGCTGTCTTTGGACTTTTTTATTCAGGGCGTTTTATATGATTGTTCGTGTAGTTACATGTGAAATTCATATCGTTTTTAAAAAACCAAAGCATTCTCCATTAAATAAAAGTTGCTAATAATAACCGAATGTGAAAGTGGCAAAAAACAACACATTTTAGTTATTTATTTATTGTTCAAAAATTCATATATTATTCTGCGAATTTATGGAATTAATTTCACAATTCGTTTTCCCATTTTAATTGTGCAACATTCACAATTTCTTACTTACAATTTCCCACAGGTTTTACAGAACAATTCGTCGTTTTCTATTTGAAAAACAATTTTTAAAACACTTGTGTTTTGTTTTTTGATGGTTTACGGAAAAAAGTAGGATTTATACTTAGTAATTTAAATTATGATTAGTGATTTCAATGAGCATGTGTTGTGCTTGCGAGGCGAGAAAAGTGCGGCATAAATAGGTTTAACTGACTTTTTGTGGGGTCATATACGCGTGTAAAGTGTCGCAAATACGTGCAACCGTTTATACGCATTCGGGCGACAATCCGCCGCCCTCCACAACTTTCACCGCCGCTCTTCGTCGGTGACAAAAACAGCCCACTCGAAAATATGCCATAGTAACAACCGTCCGCTCTCTCCCGTCCAATTAAAATTTTTTGCAGCCCCATTGAATATTTGTCCGTTTTATTGAAACCGGGCGTCCAGCTGCAGCCGTTGAATTATGAGCGCGTTTTCGAAATTGACGCTGAAATAATAATAATTCCTGACGCACAAAAAGAGCACAACACCCTCCATAAATTGCGAATAATTCCCTCCAGTGTATCAGTAATGTATCAATTTTTTTCCAGTGTGCAACCGGACGTACTACGGGGACGTGAGCAAAACGTACGACCTCCGCGTCATTAAGTCCGCAGAGACGAGGCTGCCCTTCCTCTGCCATCTCACGTTCACCGCCAACGGCCAGAGTCACGGAGATATAGTCCAGGTAATTACGCCACCCCCAGCCACGGCCGCCGCCCACGAGGATATACGATGCGACGTAATAAAAATGATATACAGGGGATAATTTGCTGAGTTATGACGGGGATCGAGGCTCGGGACAAATGTTTTAAACGTGAAATTACCGGCAACCCGCTTTACATGACGGGGTACAAGAGATTTTTCCGGGGGCTATCTAATGCGTCTATAATAAGATCGGCGCTGAATTAGCCCACCCGATTCGAGATGATGGTGTTCATCTCCCACTAAGCCAATAATTTCCAACACGATCTCCACGATCAGTATCGAATTAAAGGAACAATGCCACACGATGTATTGTTCCCGATAATCAATAGATAACCTACTCTCTCACACATCACCTCTCTAGACCAAAGAGCCTCGTGATGGATTATTGAACTTTAATTGGGTGTTATCGAGTTCGAGCATATTTCTCCTTAACAATCGCTTCCATAAATTAGATTAGCGTCTATTTAACGAAAGTTATTTGTCAGCAACAAGCGCATACATAATTCAGTTCGGGTTACAAAGAGCTGAATACTTAGTTATCTGTGCGTGGAACCTACAAAAGGTGATATTTCACTGTACAACGCTGCGATGGAAATCGTACATCATACATTGACCAAATTATTCAATTTACTCAACAAAGCGTCAAACGTTTTATCGGATATTGAGCGGTGGTCGCAATGAATTGGTTTATTGTTTTAGCTGGAGCGTAATTTTATTTTCGGAAAGATCTTCGCCCACTGCTGTTGCCATAGCACTGCAAGCAAACATTTATTAAAAGATTTCAATCGAAGGTTTCACAATAAAAATTGTTTTTTCTATTACAAAATTTTTGCAAGCACGTATATCTCAATTTGAAAAACAACTTGTGTTTGTGTTCATGCATCGGAAGAATGTGACGCAGAAATTAGTTTGATTTGAATGAGTTCGTCCCATCAAAACAGAGGATCAAAACTATTAAGTAGTAAGCTACTGAATATCATTATTATAATTCTTATTAAATAAAGACGTTTGTGTTTTCATTTCAATTAAACTCCGGCCCTCGGTCTGGTTAGGAATGAAAAACTTTATTTACCATGCTTATGTTCACTTGATAACCTTAAAATGGGATTTATCAATTTGGTGTTGACGTTGAAATTTCCGTCGCAGTTGCTGTTCCCACTGACATTGCTTTTACAGCAGAAAATTGTCATTTACAAACTCCGTTGCCAAGTTGTCGTTGATAGTAACTTTGAGGTTCAACTATTGCCGTATTTAAAGGGGTTGTAGAAGGATAGTGGCGGATTTAAATTGATTATTACAAAAATTTACCATTTCATATATGTTTCTTGTTATCGACCTAAGTCTACACAACATAATAAAACAAAAAGACAAAATATAAGTATGGTGTGTTTCTTAGTTGTGATACGTAAATGTTAATTTTTTGGTGGTAGTTTTTTCTTAAATTTTATGAGACTATTCTCATTCAAAGGGCCTTTATTAACTTCATTTCAATATTAAAAGGATTCAGTTTTTGTTAAGTGAAAGTAGTCGTAAGTTATGATTTTCTAAAATTTATGTTATCAGGACTAGTTTTTGTCTTCCACCTCTGTTTGGTCCATATAATTCCCACTCCGTGGTCCGACTGTCTTGTTATTTAGTCACCTTGAAAGACCGCAAGGTGCAAGAAATTGTGCCCCTGTGCAGATACCTTTAGTTAGGTTTTCTCTACCAATTAATAAAAAAAAAAAATAAAAATAAAAAAAATTACAAATTTGTAAAAATGCCTGTTCCTTGTTCAATATGTGAAGGTGCAGTAACGCCTATGACACCTTCACTTAAATGTAGCGTCGGAGTGTGTAAAAAATATTTCCACGTAAAATGTTTGAACCTGTCTGATCCTGATCTTACTAAATTTGTCGTTATTAAAGAACCTTGGACTTGTTCTAAGTGTTTAGTAAGTAATGAAACAGCAACTCTTCCTCAAATAGAGCTTCTTATAAAAAATCAGTTTGAAGTTTTCAAGTTAGAATTATTTAAGAAGATGGATGAACACTTTATTCAAATTGATAATAGAGTTACGGCAGTTGAGAATGATATTAAGTTGTTGAAAGATGAAATTGCTCATGTTCGAAATATGGGAGAAGCTTCAACTAATTCTAACTGTGTTGATGATATGTTAGAAGAAATTGAAGAACGCAAAGAACGAGCGTGCAACGTATTACTATTTAACATACCTGAATCTCTTGCATCGACTTCTAATGACAAAATAAATGATGATCTTAAAGTGATAGAAGATATTCTAATTCCTTTAAGGACCTTCCCTAAACCAAAAAAAATCTTTAGGTTGGGAATTTCTAAGACTAATCATAATCGTCCTCTCAAAATTGTATATGAAAACGAAAATGATGCGAGAGAAATATTAAGATCTAATAAAAGTAATAATAACCGATACCGACACTTTCGCCCCGATTTAACAACTAAACAAAGAGAACATATAAACATCGTCAAAAAAGAATTGAAAGATAGAGCTGCAAAAGGTGAATCGAACTTAATTTTGCGATATAGGCATAATACTCCATATATTGTTAAGAATAACACGTCCAGAAAAACTCGTAGCTCAAAAAACTAATTAGTTGCTATTATCACAATGTTGGCGGACTAGGATCTAAATTGGATGAATTTGTTGTTAATGTTAATGCGTGTGTTTATGACATAATTATAATAACTGAATCTTGGTTAAGTAACAAAATTAAAAATGAAGAAATTCCTCTCCATAATTTTGACATTTACCGTGCAGATCGTAATATAAAAACAAGCACCAAATCTAGAGGCGGGGGTATACTAATTGCGGTTAAAAAATGTTTAAATTCCTCAGTTATTTTCATAGGCGAATTAGTGGAAAGTCTTTTTATTAGTTTTAGAACAAATGGGTCTAGTTTCATTATTGCTGGTGTTTATATTCCTCCTGAGTCTGATTTCAATATATATAAGTCTCATTGCAAAGACGTAGAGTGTGTTTCAAAAATATTCTGACTACAATTTCATTATTGCAGGTGATTTTAATTTACCTCGTGTTAAATGGGCAGAAAAGGGTACAATCGGATACAGGTTTGCCTGTTCTAATCATGACTGCTATGATATTGTTCTAAATACGTATTCTTTCCTAAACTTTGCTCAACTAAATACAATTCCTAACGATCGAAATGTTTTTCTTGACTTAATTTTTACCAATATTACTGATTTATAAATCATTCCTGCCATTGATCCTATACTTGGTGATAGTTTACACCACATTTCTTACTCTTGGTCGATATCTATTGCACAAACTGAAAATTTAGAAACGGAATTTTGTGTGCACGATTTTATGAATGGCAATTATCCTCTTCTAAATGATTATTTTGCTTCCATATGCTGGGACAAATGCTTCGAAGGCCTTGGATTAGACGAAATGGTAGCAATCTTCTACGAAATTTTAAGTGTTGGTATGGAAACTTACATTCCACGAAAAATTATAAGGTTCCTTCCAGATATCCTAAATGGTTCAACTCAGAATTGAAAACTCTATGTCATAAGAAAATTAAAGCACATACTAAATTTAAACAATCTGGAAACCTACAAGATTATTTGCATTTTAAGAGTCTAAGATCTCAATGTAAAAAACTCTCTAAAGAACTTTACAAACTTTATGTAAGCGAGGTTAATGCTTCTATTATCAGCAATCCTAAATTTTTTTGGAAATTTGTTCGTGAGAGGAAGACCAGTAACAATAATGTTCCAAGCGAGATGTCGTATTTAAATGAATCAGTGACTGGAGGCAAAGGAATTTCCAATTTATTCGCCAAATTTTTTTCATCTGTTTACACCACTAACAGTTCTTCCAATTTAAAGTGGAATGATTATATTATTGAAGAAGTTTTAGATGTGGCTTTATCAGTTGGGATCAAGGACATATTCCATGCAATCTCCTCTCTTAACAATTCTCCTGTTACAGGCCCTGATGGCTTGAGCAACTTATTTTTAAAGAAGTGTGTATGCACCCTATCTGTGCCATTGCTTGTAGTATTTACCAAATCTTTGAACATGGGTAAGTTTCCCGAAATATGGAAATTGAGTTATATCAAACCTATTTTTAAAAATGGTCATCGAAAGGAAGTAAAAAATTATCGAGGTGTTTGTAATCAGTCAAGTATTCCTAAAATCTTTGAGTCCATTATTGCAAAACAACTCCAGTGGATAGCCTCAAGGGTACTTAGAAATCAACAGCATGGTTTTGGATTATTATTCATTTCTCAACGAGTCCTTTACAAAGAGAGCCCAAGTTGACTCTATTTATACTGATTTTGCGAAAGCCTTTGATCGAGTAGATCACAATGTTATGATTTTGAAACTGCATAAACTTGGCTTCAGGCAGTCTACAATTGATTGGTTAATTTCATTTCTAACAGACCGATGGCAACAAGTTAAAATTGGCAACTATCTTTCCGATCCGTTCAAAGTTACATCTGGTGTTCCACAGGGTTCCCATTGTGGCCCAATTTTATTTCTTTTGTTTATTAATGACTTAAGTCGTTGCTTTAAATTTTCCAAGTTTCTTTTTTATGCCGATGATCTCAAAATTTTTAAATCAATTACGTCTGTAAAAGATTGCCAAGAATTACAAGCAGATTTAGATAATGTTTTTCACTGGTGTGAATTAAATTTTTTAAGTCTCAATTTAAATAAGTGCTGTCACATTACTTTTTGCAATAAAAATTCTTCTATAAAATTTGATTACAATATTGGTAATTCTATTCTCGCGTCGGTTAACGAAATAAAAGACCTTGGTGTAATTTTTGATTCTAAACTTTCAGTTAAGAATCATTATCAGTACATATCCAACAAATCTATACGAATGTGGGGATTTATTTGGCGGCACTGTAAAGATATGAGTTCCTATGCATTGAAGATGATGTATTCTTCGTTGGTGCGTTCCAACTTAGAGTACTGCTCTCCTATTTGGTA